ACCTTTATCCCCCCCCCCCCCCCAGAACCCATTTAGGCAAAATATATAGATCATAACCTAAGGTCTCGGGACTCTAACCGACCAACCTACTAGATCAAACTCGACGTTCTGAACTCAATGAAACTGATAGAATCACCATCCAATGCTTGGATCACAAAATATTGACCAAAGTCGACCCTTTCAATATTACTCAACTCAAAAGGCTCAAATCCATCAAAATATCAGCCGATCGTATCGAGGATCACACTAACCATTTCCGCAACACATAATAAACATGAGATGCTGAGGGGAAGGAAAAAATGGCCATTTCACACATAAAGGTAATTTCTCAAGAAATGGGACATTGCATTTCAGAGTGAGATTATTTACTCTTATGACATCCCCAAGCAACTCTCAGCTTAATGCAAGAATTTCCCACAAGAATCACTGAAGAAATGCTCTACACCACTTTAAAAAAAAAAAGAAGGAAAAAACTAGTAAGTTAATCACTATTTGAGCCACTCTGGCGGACCCAACGTCGCAGAAGAAGTGTCACTAAAGCAGAAAAAAATCCACCGCCACAAAAATCAATAGCTGACCGGCTCCGCAAGAGCGATTATAAACTAAACCGATCGTCTTAGTAGGAACGAACTTGTCTCTACAGGCTTGAGGTCGTCGAATGACCAAGATTCATAAGAGCGAGGTTTGTTGATAGGGAACCTTCACCGAACCGATTGGCCCTTCATCGAATCTACTCTACCAAAGTGAGTCGTGGTTCGTCAGGACAACAACCTCAGCACAATGCACCAACAGACTTGGGATTTAATTCTCATGTTTGAAAAGACTCTCGGGATTTATTTGGGGTTCAAACCATGTAAACCAAATATGCTACCCAATTAGAAATGACATTCCAGACTTACTAAAGTTGTCAAAACTTTTAAGGGAGGTCATCTTGAAAGAAAGTGGGTCGCATATGCAAGTTCTATTTTAGCTAAAATTTACAAGGTAGCTCAAAATGAGTTTGGAAGCCTTGGGACCTGAACCAAAGTTCCTTCTAGACCAAACTCGCTGTTCCGAAGCTAACAAAACTATGAGAACTAGGAAAGCTCTAAACACCAAATATACAAGGAAACATAAAATGACCTAGATGGTCATTACACCTTGTTTAACTGGCATTGAATGATGTTTGGTCTATAAAGGATAAAATGAGTTGTTCAAGGATGAACAAAAGCTCTAAGTATAGGGTGGTGATTGGGGGTGTAATTACTTATTCAAACACCATGTTTTTCCCCATGTTTTAGGTAAGTGTTGGGTATAATCTTATGAATATACTTGTATTTGTTGAATATATGTTTTAATGTGTTAATAGAGATGATTAGGATAATTTCAAGCGAAAACAACAAGAGAAGACTTAAAAGATGGATTATAATGTAAAGCTAAGTGTCTCAGATTGAAACACTACCAAGTGAAAGCTAAAATGGAGTCAATGAAGTCTATGGTGCGTGGTGACCTTCCTTGAGATAAGCTTAGTGCCACTCCTATCTTGAAAATAAGAATAAGACACTAGAAGAAAGAGACTGGAGTGTGAGATGGCCAACACTGCATACCTTTTCCCTCCGAGATGGGTCTCTCACGTCACCCCTATTTCCAGATTGAAGTTGACAAAGTCAAAGTAGATTTCAAGTAGGATTAGGATTTCGACCCTACTGCCATATATATGTCATTAAAATGATACTTTTAGGAATTGTTTGGTGTGAAGGATAAACACAAATAGTCATGGGATAAATATTTAGTGGCACTTAATTTAGTGTTTCGTTGGAAAGTTTGGAATAACTTATCCTGGGATTAATAAATAGTACCGGGTTAAGTTATATCTCCAAAAGGGTGGTATAATAATCTCATCACAATTTGTGATGGGATAAATTTATTAAATGACAAAACTATCCTTCAAACCCTTTAATTGATAACCTGCCGCTTGACCAACACAGTGGGGTGGAGTGCAACTTCAGGCCAAAGCTGACAATTGGGTGTATGAGAAGCCAACACAACATTCATCAAAGATGAAGAGATGTTGAACATGCTTATGAACACGAATCCAAATTCTTTCAGGAAGTTGCTTCAAACATTCTTGGAGGCCAACATGTGTGGATACTACTGGGACACTTCTGAAGAGAACATTGAGAAACTCAAGCAGTTGTACTCAGAAGTCGAAGACAAGATTAAAGGAATAGATGGATAAATGTATAGCTAAATATATGATCTCTATGAGAAAAATATTGTTTCCATATATTCAAAAGGTACAATTGCCTTCATGCTCTAAGAGGGTGTTTTGGTAATCAAACCACTTATTTTTAGGAAGTACGTAATGGTTATTATTTTTAGTACAACAAACCAAACAATCAATAAGAAATAATGCCAGTATAACCAATCCTAGTATGACTAATCCCAACATAACTTATCCCAACTAGGGTTAGGAGCTATTTTCAAAGGTTAGATATAAGTAGTAGAAGTTAGGCATTACTCATAGAATAGAAGATTCACAGTTCTTAGTTTTTAGGGTTTAAATTAGTTTATAGTAGATTATTGTCGAACAAACAAAATTCTCTTGCAAGAGATACATTAATAAAAGATTTGCTTATTTTTTTAACATTGATGTTCTTAGTAGTTTAAATTATATCAGTTATTGTTTACCATTAGTTATGAATATCTAAACTCATAATAAATTCTTTAGAATAATATATTCTCATGAAGGAGTGATCATTGTGTATTAGAGTTTTTTTGTAAACTTTGTTATGGTTGTAAATATAAAGAACTCGTCCGTATTTTGACTTGCTTGATAAAAGAGATTAAGATTAGGAAAAATAGATCATTAACAATACTTTAGAGCTACCAATCTCCAAATAATAGATTGAACTCAAGAGATGATAGCTAACATGAGACTTTTGATTAATGAACAAATTAATCCAACACCCAGTGCCGACAAGGACTTAGGGTGATATTCTCTTAATTGGGCCAAGAGGCTTTAGGAGACTTATAGATTCACTGGTTTTGCACAATGAGTATATTTGAATGAGTTGATAGTAAATTATCTGTTTGAGTTTGATATCGAAGAACTATAACCCTAGTTAGTCTTTTTTATTAATAAAAATCTAAGTAGTTAGTAACTTTCCATAACCCCACCCTCATTTTTTCAATAGTAGTTACTAAATAGAATTTAAATATCAAGTTATAAAGATCTCTAATAACGCTCTTTGTGGGATTCGATCTCAACCTAGTTTGGTTACTATATTTTACTATAAAAATGACAAATATTATTGGCATGTTCTCCGGCATTACTGTCCAGCAACAACAACGTCACCAGGAAAGCAAGTAATAAGTGAACTCAAGAGCTTGAGAGATTTTGGTTATAGAACTTCAGAATGTATAGTTAGTGAGTCATGAAAACTGTGATGTGATACAAGTGAGGGATAATAATATATTTGAAGCTAAATTCTAAGAGGCATTTTGCATGAATTTTGGCTCCATGATGACCCATTTTTGCATGTTCTTTACGTTATGTGTAGAATTGTGTAATTGCTGAAGAGGATCCAGAATTCTCTGGAACGGTTACACTTTTGGGTTTATCTTGACCGATCTCTATTATATTTTTCATCCCGCAACTTTGGAGCTAGATGGATTCATGACATGATTCTAGATCTTCATGACATAGACAGAGGCGGAGCCAGGATTTCATGTCACTGGGTTCTAAATTTTTAAAAAGAACAACGAACTTAACCTGAAGTAACAATCATCAAATTAACGAACAAATACAAGTATTTAATTCACTAAAAATGACAAATTACTTAAACATTATATATATAAGCATTATCATTACAATTGCACTCGACGAGTTGTCATATTTTGAAAACGATTAATGATCACATCATTAGGTACACTTTCAAATAATTCATCTTCTATATAACAAACTAAACAATCATTTAAAAAGTCATCGCCCATTCTGCTTCACAAGTCATTTTTAATGAACTTCATTGAGGAAAAAGCTCTTTCCACTGTTGCAATAGCCACAGGTAATATCAAGCTTAACTTCACAAGCAAATAAACAAGTCCCCATGTCTTGTGCATATTTATTTTTACCAATGCCATCGAAAGATCTCCAAGCCCTTTCAAATTTGAGAAAGCGTTGTCCACTTTACTTACATAGTAAATATAAGTGTCTAGATCAAAACTAAGCTCTTCAATCTTGGAAGCATCAAATTCATTCAGATAATACGTTGCAAGCTTCATGATCTTCTTTTTATCATAATTTATAAAGGAATTCTCGGGACTCAAACTAGCCATTCCAAGAAGTAGATCAGTAGTCACTTCATTAAAGCGATTGTTAAGTTCTAAAAGCTGCAAATCTATAACAACATAAAAACTTCCACACGCAAATGATGAGAATATGTAACACTTGAACTTTTACGCTTCGACTTTCCAAGACCATATTTCTCATCCAAGGGATCATAATATCATTCTTTTCACAAAATAGGCATATATCTTCTACCAAAGAATTCCATTTAGATTCCCTCATCGATTGCAATTGTTTCTTTGCAAGATCGACAAGCTTCATGGCAGTAACAATATCTTGATCTTTTCGTTGCAAAGCCATATTCAAATCATATGTAATTGCCAAAATCTTTAACATCAAATGCAATATGTAGATAAACTCATAAGATTTAAAGTCTCCCACTAGAATTTTTGCCATTGCTGTCTCATGATAATTTACCCCCTCATTTTCAAGAACTTCAAGTACATAGACAATAAAAGTTAGAACCCTAACTTTTGAAAAAAAAATGAGTTAAACTTTTTGAATGTGAGTATAGATCAACAATAAAAGTTAGAACCATAACTTTTGAAAAAAAAAATGAGTTAAACTTTATGAATGTGAGTAGAAATCAATAGTAAGATATTGTAGTTTTAGAGTACGGTACAAATACGCATTCTATTATATATATATATATATATATATATATATATTTTTAT